AAGTAAAATGCGCACGGCGCTTTTAAGCTATTTAAAAGCGAAGGAAAGCGAGGAAAAGAGGAAAAATTCAAACGAACAATTGCTTTACTTCGAATTGCCGCTATTTGAAAGTGAACGTAAAATTTTGTTATAAAATTTATACCGGTGATACCGGTATTACCGGTGTTGTCACACGTCGATTAACCGGTGGGAAAATTTCCTCACCATCACAACCCTAATCTGGGTCAGCGTCGCCACACGCTCCCGTCATGGTACTGTCGTGAACGCGACTCGTGATCTTAAATTGTGTTCCGAAGATGAACGAAGGTCTTACGGTTTCCAACAGCAGGAGGGTGAGTAATTAATGACAGAATTTTCATTTTTGGGTGAACTAACCCGTTAAGAAACGTTCCCTTGTTGATTAATAGTTGTGAAGAAACTCCGCACATGTCTGACTGGAAAAACGCTTTCTTGAGAAACCGCGTGATCCCGCCTCACAGTCAAACAGATAGGCAAGCACCAGGATCTTCTCAAGGTCTACAGCTGGTCTTCAAACAGATTGATGGACTTCACGTAAAACAGATGTTTATACATGCTATGGAAAAGTTAAGATGTATTGTTAGATTGTGTTACTAGTCATAATTTCTCATATTTTCACTTTTAACCATCAGGTGTACCCAGTGCTTGAAGTGGGAAAAAAGAAGTGCCGGTGTTGTGCCCAATTTTGACCCCCTGCCAAATTATTACCCCCCTCGTTCAATTCGCTACCTGATTGGCTAATCCTAACCCCTCCCCCACACCTACTCCTAAACCTACCAATACTGGGGGAGGAGGGTCTGGCAGGGGGTCAGAATTGGGTGCAACAACGGTACCATTTTTTATAATTCACAATGTATGTATAGTGCCACAATCAATCAATAATTAAATAAAAGTTTTCAATACAAATTAGCACAAGTCAATCTGCGATACCAAACAGTACCACAGGGAGACGCCAAAGACCACTAAACCTACTATATGGATCCATTCAGAATCGCTAAACCTCTGACCACCTTCAGCCAGCGTCTATTATAAAACACTCTTGCTTTTAAGCCAAAAACACGCTGAACAGAATAATTGAATGACATCTGGACGTAAGTCACTATTCTCTCCACAATCTCTGATGAAAATGTAAACGCTATATAAATCGCGATTCATTCGATTCTTAGCGTTTTAAATCAATTACTGTCCGAAATCGGCGATTCACGATTCAAAAGTCATGTTTCAAGATCGATGCATATGCATCGTCAGGGTTTGTAATCGATGCATCGATAAAACGTGTGAATCGTTACACCCCTAATATATATATATATATATATATATATATAAAAATTGTAGAACGTTTAGTTTTAGATTAATTATATTGTGTCACACTGCAGTACACTGTCACTGCTTGACATCTTATGCCAACCCAAAAACATTTTTAATTTGATGAATTATTGTTAAAAATGTACTTGCCCTTGATTACAGAGATGTTTTTGTTTTCTTTTTTCTCCTTTTCTTCCTGTGATTGGCATAACAACAGTCAGAGTCACTGGCATCACTCCAGTATCAGCTGCACGTGACCCTGTTTGACTCGGGTCACCAGCACTTATTTGGGCGCACAGGGAAGAGTAGCTCACACTCTGTCAGTGGCATGCAGGGTCAGAGCGGTCGAGTGCTCTTCAATGAGGTAGGGTGACTCATTTCTCACTGACTGATGATATTTAGTGTTATTTTCATGATGCAACACCTTTTCATGCTTGACTAAGGGTGTTATCCATTCAGAAGTCGTCTTCTCTTCATGCCCTGTTCCATGTAGAGAGGTGACCTCTTTAAAGTGACAACTCAAAATGGATTGCAGAATTACAGTAGTTCGAGCTGAGCATCTAGACAATAAAGCTGTACATCACATGACTCTCAGTATGCTTGTTGAGAAGGAATCTGCTATTAGGCCCTGTCCAGCTTTTGTCCTGTGTTGGTCTTGTTGTCTCACTCTGGAGAGGGAGTATTTACAGAAACGGGTCTGTACATCGATCACATCCAAGGCTCTTTTTTTTTTTGCTGGACCAGTTTAGTTGACCTGCCCTGCCCTTTTCCACAGCAAATGTGATAAAATATATAATAATACATAATATATATTACAAAAACAAAAATAGATATTAGAAAAATGTGTAAAGTATAAAAATATATACACAAGTCATCCTCGCAATTACAGTAAATCCTCATATATTAGCTAACCTGACTGCTTTACATCCATGACACATTTAATCACAATTCTCAACAAAAAATGAAGCATTAATCATTCCTTTTCACAACTGTTCAATAACCTTGTTCAGACAAAATGTATTTTCCTGTTTTGACCCCACCAATGAAATCAAATTGGTCGAGTAAATGATTCAGTGACTAGGGATATGCCCAGGGTGCAAACTACGGGGGAGCTAGGGGGAGCTTGGCTCCCCTTAATAAGACATGGGCTCCCCTGAAAACGTTTTTGTGAAATTTTGGGGGGTCTTAAAAAATATTGACAATGTGTTATTTTGACGTGCAATTTCAGTTTTGTGTAATGTGATCATCATGGATTATTATGTGTAAAATTGCTAAAATATCATTCATTCATGCATGACGGCGATTTAAACCTAATTCACTTAAATAAAGATAACTATATATGCTATTCTTGTCATGAGCACCAAGGTGTGGGGGCGCTGCGGTGCAAATTCCACTCATGTTTAGTACGTTAACTCAAAGATTCGTAGAAAAAATATAAACGTTGGATTCTGTGGTCGATTCTGTGTTAAGGTAAGGCATGTTATTCGCAATTATGTGTATTGGCTGGGTTGTTATAGATCTGCGTGACTCTCGATGTCTTAGGCCTAATTGAACGGAGGAATTATAGTATTCTTCTGTAGCCTGACGACGAGTCAGGTTAACTTTACGTTAACCATTGTTCATGTGAACTCAAAGACAGCCTGATGCTTTGTTTATAGACTATTTGTGGGTGGCTGTTTGTTGTTTCACCTATCAATCGTGTCGATAAAGTATAATAGGGTAAATCCTGTATAGTGATTTATCCTATAGTGCTTGCATAAAGCAAGTAGTGCATACACTTGTAGCTGTTATGTATCTTTGTAATTCATTGCAAGCCCTCTTTTGAGGCACGCGTAAGCGCACATGGTATAGTTCGAACACTGAGTGGAACAATATGTTCAAATACTCCATTTAATGCCAAGAACTTTACATAAACACAAGTTGATAAGTAAATAAGCATGTTTGCATTATTTTCTTTCTCTGGCCATAATTCTAACCTTGAAATCAGGATTAGGCATAAAATAATGTCTTCACAATCATTCATACATGTACAAATAGAATAGCAAATGAACAAAGTTGTAGCCTGGAAGATAGTAATCATGTCTTTGTTTTTCTGGTGATTAAGGAATAATACAAGACTTCTTCACTTTACAAATCTAGCGTAGCGTTAGCTCTGGCAGGTCACGTTAGTCAAGCTCGCATCAGCTGACTCTCAGCTGATCCCCATCAACCTATGGGAATACGACACCTATCTAAGCATTCATATATAAGGTCCCTCAGTATTATCAGCAGTTTTCACATTGCTCAATAGCTAATTACCCTCCTCCATCCCCATCTCCTCCTCTGTCAGTCAGGATTCAGCCTTCTGATTCTCCTTTGATTCAGACTAATTCTAAAATGTGTACATAACATTATTGAACTTTAACTATATCTGCAATACATTGATGTTGGTTCTGTTCTGTTAACCCGGGGGGGATATCGCTGCTCTCCCTGCTCTCATCCATGCTAGGCTGCATGAATGCGCAGGGAGTTCTTGCCAAGAACAGAACCATACCGCCAATCCAAACTGTATGCTAATTGTCAATCATCTTTGACGATAGTGGTCCTGACAGAAATGAATGTCAAAAGCAAAAATTGCTACATATTTTGTGAAAATGCTAGTGAAAAACAGGCACTATTTTTGGAATCAGCACCCAAAATTAGTAAGAAACAAGCATTGGATCTCATTCAGCAAATATGATGCACAGATTATGAGAGTCTGTATGTTAAATGCATCTTTTTTATAACTTGTTCGATATGTCAGGCTTATTGAACCCTTGAAGACGTTGTTACATAACAGTTTAAGTGGGGGTGGGCGCAATCAAATCGCCCTGCCATTATATCAGACCATCAAGAGTGTCAAATGGAGAGCAGAAGCACTCCTCGCACTAACCAGGCATACTGTGCGAGCGAGCGAGCTTACATCCGGCAAGAAAAAAGTGGTATAAAAATGGCAGAAGTGCCATGCTATTACACGCTACAGTGTACATGGTAATGAGATAGTTGTGTGCTGCCATTTAAGACATTGACGGCTGTACAGTGTGCACTTAGAGAACCTCATCTGACAGGGAGAAGAAGAAAATGAAAAAATATGATCAAATTAAGTCTTTTAACATTTCGGGGGGAAAAAATTTACCCAACGGCTTGTGTCAAAGCAGAGACTAACTAATTATTTCCAGTGACAGAGCCCGTAATGAACCAGCTGCTGTTCAGGTCAGCACACGGGCTGATATTCCCCATATTCCCATATCACTGTTTACTGTCCTAACGGCTTCCAGGTCAGTGAACTGGACACTGAGATACATGCCCTGTCTGTGGCATATGAGGACCCATTCACCAGACTGTTTTAATATGAGAGCATCAGCATAATCCTGCAAGGTACACTGGATAATCAAGGCTCTCAAGAGAACGTCGGAGCTGTGAGAGGATGCATAACCTTGATGTGAAGATATTAAAGTAGTTGATGGAGCAATTAAGAGATGCGGCTAACGATCTTCATCAAGGCTATTCAGCCTACTCGGAATAGTGAGGAATTTTCCAAACTGCTAAAGGGAGATTCCCCGCTGTCTGGTAATTTGGCAGCCGATCCACCTTAGACCTTTCTGGAGTGCAACAAAGCATGTGCCTTATTGCCACTGTGTATTGTAAAGCTAAAAAAAGAATGTAGATATATATAATGCTTGGGGGAGGCTAAATTCGTAGTAATTAGTTGTGTTTTTAGCAGCAGATCACCTAGATGTGAAAAAATCCCTCTGGTTTACCAGCAGTTTCATACTTAATTTTCTCCTTATCTAACACACTGCTAAACTCCAATAGCCATTGCTCACAGTTTTGCTCAAATTCTTTGTTCCCTACCGCATTGATTTCTAGATTACCCGAACTTTCATTCTTATTGATGCTTCAAATCAAAGCAGCACAGAGAAAAGCCATAAAAAACAAGATGAGATACATTTCTGAGTTACATTTGAAAAATGTAAAAAAAAACTTTAAATAACTTGAGTATAAGACTACTCTCAACCAGCCACTGGACCGTATGAAATGGCTCTATAAAGTAAGAACACATCTAAACAGAACATGCAACAATATATTGTGTAAAATGTGCACTTTATCATATGACTATGGTAAGACAGCACCTTCTGGAGAACCTGTGAATGCAAGAAGTTGCAGCATAGCATCCTACATTAGGTAGAGAATGAACAATGATGCTTGCCTGGCTCCATCGTCATTCCCACCTTAAACATGCTCTCCACATTATGCCCCTGGAACAGCTGCTAACCAGATGTAATGGCAAGGACATCTGTCAAATTCTGCCACTTTAAAAAAACAGAACTTGTAGTTGCTCAGTTTTCATCTTTTTTTGGAATGGGGGTCATAAATGCTAGGAAACTAGAGTAATGAACATTTGAATGAAAAGTTCTTCCACTTTATGGCTGTTACTCATGAGCAGTTGTAATTCCTGAGCGTATAGTGTATTACTTAGCATTTGACTGACTTTTTGTCCATGCGGAATGTATAATAAAGATTTGTTACATGAATGTCTGTTTTGGATTGAATCCTACTCTTGCTATGTATGTACTGTAAGTGCTAAGAGCTCCTGTTAACCATAAATAAATCCCTGGCCATTACAGCTTTTCTGATTCTGATTCATCCTGACTTTCCACTGACAAATAGCACACCATCTGAACCTTATGATCAAAATGTCACTCTAACAGTGAGAGATGTGATTCATAAAATGGCATAAATGTCATGACCGCACAGAAAATGTTGTTCTGGCGTGGTGTACTGTGGTATGTGAGGGTGTGTTTAGCTGATACTCGACCTAATTTGCGCGCGTCAAGTCTTTGGTTATCGCATCGCGGTTATTTGGCGACCCCTAGCGAGCGCTGTGCGAATAACTTCAACTCGATTCGCAATCTTGTTAATTACGAGCCCTCTAGTTATTCATACAAACCAGCATCACTTAAAACGTTTCCTCGGGAACATTACCAACGCAAAGCTGTGAGGTTTAAGTAAGACGTCGCGTTCAAAACAAGAGAAGTGAAAACAGCATGACGCGCATCAACTTGCCACAAAACTCTTCACAGATGACAGGATTTTGGCAATGTTCGTTTAATGCATTCAGCCCTTAGCTGAGAGATCTCAAAAGGGATATTTATTACCTGCGTGTGACACACCGTTTCAGCCACATTTTTCCAGACAACAATTCCGAATCAGTCCTCTTGGTATTCGTCCATTTATGCGTTCCAACAAACGTCGACGCTAGAGCGTAATGGTCACCTTAAGTTAGACACCTTACTCCAAATGTTACGGATGCTAGCATTCTAATGTTATATATCCCGAGAAACC